TTTTTTGACGGTCATATATTTTTGAAGCCTGAAAGGGCCAATATTTTAATGAACTCGACTGTACCACGGGGCCCCCGTGGCTCTGCGCATGAATCTATTTTGAATCACCTGAAGTCGGTGTATTTAAATTAAATTTATTTAAAATCCGAAACACGACAGAACTATATAACTTACAGGACAAACAAATACAAATCGTGATGTAACAAACACACAGCGCCATCTGTTATGGAGAAACGGAAACGGCGCCGACACTATCTGTAGAATCACCGAGCTCGCTGTTGTCGTTCAAGTGCACGTGTTGAAGAATAATTTCGAACCGATTGCATCTAATACTATCCTGTAAAATTTTGCAAAAATGCAATCGTTTTTGGCAACTTGACGTAGCCTAACAATAGCATCGCCCCTAATATAACGTAGATGGCGCCTTCCGTTACCATCAAAGATTTATTTTTTTGCAAAGCGTAAAGTTTTGTATGTTTGATAAGATCATTGTGAAAAAATAAGTTAAAGTATTCTAGTGGATTTTGACATGCTTTACTTTCATCTTATGGTGGCTGTGGACGATATTCAGTACAAATAAAAGCGAGTTGCCCTTTTTACAATGTGTAGATTTTTTCTTTTTAGCTGGGAGTGCAGACCTTGATGACTTGTGGGAAATGAAATGAGAAAGGGGCTGCTCGTCTTCACTATCGCTACTTGATAGAATTATCATTTGACGATCTTTGCGTATTTGAACCGAAGGCTGTAGACATTGATGGAATAGAAACAATTGTATCACCTCGAAAACGTTGCAGTTCGCAGCTAGTTTGCAGCAGTCTTCGTCCTAAGTGATTTAGGTTCGCATCATGCTCCTCGTCGGACTTGTCACTGTCTTCATCAGTGACCTGATCGGCATGCTCAATAGGGGCCGGGTGTTACTTAGATGTTTCTGCATAAGAAATACAGTTTTGGGTCATTGATTTTGTCTTAAAAATTCTAGGCAAGATTTACTTTTAGCAAAATGATTACCCCTACATAAACAACATACATGTTCTTCTTCCACGTTGCAAGACTCTGCACTATGATTGTGGCCACATTTATAGCATTGCGGTTTCGATCGGCATTGGACTTTAGTATGTCCAAAAAAACAGCAATTGTAACATTGAATGGTTGGGAATGTATATAAGTCGACAGGCAAAGTATTATAGCAAAATTTTCTTGGGTAAAATCTGACCATCAAACGTTAAAACCACTGCTTGAGATGGATTCCATATAGCCTTTCCTTCTAGAACTTTTTTTGAAATTCAATCTTCTTGCTTTTAATATTTTACCACAACCTATTGGCACATTAATATTGTCTATTTCTTCCGGAGACCACTTGTTCATTGTGTTTTGAAAAGTTATAATAAAACTCGATGACTAATATAACTTTAATTAAAACAAGCAATGACAAAGACTTGTTGAACTTGCTCCGCTTCGTCTTGAGGTCGGGGCCAAAGAGAACCCGGAAGCGACGCTATCGATTGGACTGTCAGCATTGTCACAGAGTAAAAACGCTGGATTTTGACGTAATTGTCTTTGGTTCGAACACCACTCAGTTGGTACTCCACGTACTAAACCTATTCTTGTAATATTAAAAGATGGTATGAATGCTTTGTAATCATTTTTAATTAGTAATTCATTTTTAAGAAAACCATTATCATCCAGGTCATTCGAAAAATAAAGTGATATTCGGTTTCTACCTATTTTCTTAACACTTACATTAATAATATTATAGAAATTGTTTTTTTTTTTAAATTACCAAATGTGACGGGGTGGAGGGTGGTGCTATCATTAAGAAAGAATTGTTTTTTTTTGTACATGGATCACAAATGGTGATGCAACCCATGATTCATAGATCGTTCTGCTGACTTGGGGTGGGCTAGGAAGAGATGAGTAATTTTTTGAATTGTCTATTATTGTTTCAGTACTATTAGGTATTGATGATTTATCTTTTTCACAATTGCAGTCTGAGAATTTCCGTTAACTACACCATGAGAAGACCTTCTTTTTCATTTTTTATTACAATGTTGGCAAATTTTAGTTTGCCGTACAACTTTGCGTTTTCGGCTACTGTTCCCAACCAGCGACCCATCAGTATCCATACCGCTCTCACTTAGTTACTTTGCAAGCCA